CCGACTATAGTTTCCATTGCGCAATGTTTCGCGCATCATAGTAAAATAAAGCGTATTTACTGTTTTAATGCAACTTTTTTCGCTTAATTATTAAAATTAAACAAAATTAAGAAATTATAGGAATAAAAATGTAAATACAATTTGAAATAACTGATTTTTTAACCGATTTTGCAATTGATAGGTAGGTTGACGTCGTTGCAGTGTGTTTTTGACGTTATGATAATCTGTAGCTCTTAAAGAAAGGGTAATAAAAATATTATTAAAGAAAAAGTAATAAACATACGCTTTTGAAATTTAAAACATAGAAATTTGAGAATATCTCCAATTTTTTTTATTATGTTTTCATGTGAATCCATTGCATACGTCATATTTTGTAATACTCTATAAAAATAGTAAAATTTCCTAATTTTTTGCATTTTGAGATGCCCCTTCTGGTAACAAGACGGTAGAATTTTGTGTTTCTTACATATATTGTATAATATAGTATTACTCATCAAATATTATAGTTTGAACAAAATGTCTATTGTAGTATTTGTATAATTTGCTTTAAAGTGCTAAAAATTGGCATTTTCCTATATAATCCTATAGTAAATGTACCTGAATTTTGAGACGGTCCCTCAAAAATACCTGGACGATAGATTTCCCCCAAACTTTGCATATACACTGAAGTTAATGTAAGTTATAAATGGTATAAAAATGAAGAGTTTTGCTATTGTAGTTTTCAAACAATAAAACTATAGTCGGCCCCCTTAAATTCACTTTTTTCAAAAACTTTCAAAGATTTCAAATAGAGTGCCCTTAGAAGATATCAGTCGCGGTATCCACGCTGCTTTCAGAACCTTAAACTTGCATTCAATATCTATTATTGATAAACCTCCGTCAGATAAATCGCCGATCAGTGTATTTCGTTTGATTCTTTCCGATTTGTCCAATAAGAAATTAAATAAAAGTCTTTGGATCTTACAGATATATTCTTTATTTGGTATACACAATATAGATGCAACATAAACTAGTAAATACACGATTTACCAAAAACGTTAATTTAATTTTTTACGTTTAAAAGATTCAAATAACTTTTCAATGTCGTGGTAGATTTTCATCCAATTTTTATTGTAGTATTTTTCTTTATCGTGTCCTACATAAATACCTAGACATCTTATTGCTTTATTTGTTGCTTTAATACCCTTGATTTCATCATACATACAATTTTTTTTTACAGAAATTAAAATACTGTACAAGTGTAAATTTTACCGAGACGCAAATTTAGCGATTTGTCCTTAAAATTTGGTATTTCCTTTTTAGAGAAAAGTACTTGTAGCGATATTTATAAGCTAACTACCTTTATAATATTTGTATATATTAAATTTTAATTAACATAATTATTACAAATTAAACACATTTAATTTTCAGTGATATTCAATTATAGCAATCTCAGAACCCTAGCTGATAATGCCTCGCTAAAAATTCTGCTTATACGGTATTAAAACTAATGATAAAACTAATAAACTAATGATACGTTATTAAAACTAATGATACTATCTTAAATGAAATTCTTTTGAAGGTTTTGCTTTGTCAGATTCTTTGCTGACAGGGTTACTTACCTTTAATAATATCATGACAGGTGAGGCATATGACTGGACTTTACGATGGATGAGTTCTTGATCAAATCAGTGATGTCCTAAGATTTCCAGATAAGCAGACAAAAAACTGTAATTTAGCAAACTTCTTTAACATGCTATTTGAATTATTGCACAGTTATCTGCATTACTGATAATTTAGGTGAAAAAAGTTCGAAATCTGGTAAATATTCATTCACCAGGTATTTGATAAAAATCTTAACCTTCTTAATTTAATTTTAACAATGAATTTACAAAAAAAAAAAAAAAAAAAAAAAAATCTGAATAAAAATTGTCCTTTTTAAACAAAAAAAAAAAAAAAATTAAAAAATTTTGATTTAAAAATATTATTTTATTTTCATATCTAGGGTGCCCGTACTAAGTCCAACAATAACAAATTGATTTGTTTGATGTACTTAGACCGACCCGTTAAAATCAGCCCCACCATAAGCAATAATTTTTTTCAGCAATTCAATTTTTTCCCCTTATTTCCATACACGTTTTAAAGATAAGGTATATTTTTTTAAAGATGCATTTCGATCTAAACATATATAGTCTATCTAGCTAGTAATGAAAACATAAACATATTTCTGAGTCTGTGATTGTTGATATGACAGTTATCAATGTTTTTCAATACTGTAAGGCACAAAAAACCCCTACCTACTAGCCTGGATACAAACATATTTAATGATGGCCAATATTGACAAGTATATAACACACCTCCTAACCTCATTAGCATAAATCGGAAGAATTCGGAGGTAAACGTAACGAAAAAGGAACAAAACCCGTAAACGTCCGAACAGTTTTCCTCGCGAGAATTCAGCGAGACCAACATGTTACAGGTGAAAATCGAGAGAGAAATTCAACATGAAAAAAGAGGTAAAAATTTATGTTATCTCGATTTATAAATTTTTTAGATTGCAAAAAGTTGAAAAACAAACGTTTCTTTACCTGAAAAGTGAAAGTAGGTTTGCAGTGTCTTATTCTGTCAAGTGCTATTTCACTTTAAAGTGTCAAAACAGCACCTATCGATTTTGTAAACATGTTTCCACGTGGAAGGGAGTAGTTGTGATGATCATGATTAACCCACATACATTGATTTAGTGAATAAAAACACTCGTAAGTGGAATTTCATTTATTTTTTCGATTACCTCTAGCACAAATTGGCTAAATATTTTAGGGCATAATTGTCAAATGCTGTTAATTGCATGTCTAAAATTGAAGAGAAAATGCAGGTGTGCTAGAGTTCGTTCCTACTTGTAAGGTAGTCTACTATGCATGCATATGCAGAGTTACGCGTATAAAAGTAATAATTCTTACTTATCAATAGGTCTATGGTGAGGACCATATGTGTTTTTTCAAATACCATGAGACTAAAATTCAATTCTATCCGTACTCGTGTGTATGCACAAGAAGTCCTTCCGAATTTCCTCTACACATATACATGTGTATCTTGATAAAGGATTTAAGTTTTGTTTACATTTGTTTGTAGTTTTAATAGTGTCAGCTGTTTATATCAATAATGCAGTTTTCATAAGAGCCTTCTGATCAAAATGTGGTTGTTACATTTGTAATTTAAAATCATGGAATTTATGATCAGATGATATAAAAGCAGTTCTCACATACTTGTGATGTATGTATCAGGTATGCAGTTGTGGCCCACGTGGCGCAGTGATTAGAGCGTCTGCTCTAGAGTCAGGAAATAAGGAGTCAATCCTTACGTCGCTAATTTGAATCCCACTGAGGGACGTGGAGACTGGTCCTTGGATGAGTCCGTATAAACCGAGGCCTCGTGTCGCTGTAGCTGCTGGCACAAAAAAGATTCCTCCCTGCTCAAAGACCCTCACCCAAAATTTGTAGCCCTCCACCCGCAAGTGGTGGCATTTCCATATGAGTGAAAATTATTCTCGAGAGGGACATTCTAAACAACATACAATCAATCAATCACAGATGCAGTTTATGAAAATTTTGAATATTTCTATTTGTACCACTATTTTCCTTTTTAAAGTATATTGCCCATCTAAAAGTAGCTACTGAAATAGTATAAGTATATACAAGAGTTACTGTGAGCAATCAGCTCTGACACTAAATGATACCCACAGCTAATTCTCATATGAATATAATGACTGTGTCCATGTTTTTTCTATGGGAAACCCCAAATATGTGGCGGATCAAAAAGTAGAATAGAAGATGCACTATTGCAATATGTAATATAGATTCTGTGAAAGTCATCAAATATCACTCAGTGGTATATTAGAGGAATTAGCGGATAAGAGATGGGTACACCCAAGCATAACAGACAGACAGACATACCAATTACTTAATATACCCTCCCGCTTTTCAAGCAGGGGGTATAATAAATCACATGCTTGCGTGCATCAATCTGTGTAATGAAAAGATATTTGTAATTATAATGTATTTGGAAAGATAATTAATTTACATTGATGTTTTGCATTTTTGTTTGTAAGAATACATTTATTTAATAACACATTGTTTAATTATTTCAATGTGTTAAATGAAAAGTAATTTTCTTTTTTGTTTGTCTATTGCAGGTACAGCTGTAGAGTACATTTCGAACAGCTATCTCCAGGTATGACAAAGTTTACACAAATGTGAAATCATTGTAGGCAATAGTTTTCTTTCACTGCTCACTCCGGCTTTTTACTGGTCAGATCATTATAATATCACTATCCCACTAGGCTACTAGATTTAATTAAAAAGAGACTGACCCAAAACCATAATAATAATAATCATGATAAATGTAATAGTTATATTTTGTTTATTTAATGTGATACACAGTTGGACATTCAATAATTGATCTAAACAAAATAGGATTCCGAAATGACAGAACTTTGAAACAAGGCTGTCAAGTTGCTAGCCCAACTATAATTGTATTTTGTTAGAAATGTACATAGAACTGACCCAAAAGACAGATGCCCCCTACCATGTACTATCCTAGATAAAACAAAATTCACTGACCCCAGTCCCGTGGGCCTTCAATTTTTTTTTTTTTTTTTTTGCCTTGCATTGTAAAGTCAGCTATCGAGACATTTCTTTTTTGTTGTTTGTTTTTTTTTTAAATATAATATGCACTATCCCACACAAATTATACACACAAGAAAATAAATTTTTTTCTCCGCTTTTAAAATATGGGCTTTACTGATCTTTACATGTATTCAATGTATGTCTTAATTTTCTTTTGAAGAATGATAATTTGTTGATTGAATTTAAAAATGGTCTTCAATATGTATGCACATGATAGTGATGATACTGTATTAAATGCACAAAAATTATAATTTCAATAAAATAAAACAAAAAAAGCAAATTTTAAAAAAGGAAATCAAATCAATTCATTTGTAATGTGCAATGATTGAATGTTTAAGAGGATATACTCTGAAGACAGTGATGTGCTAGTTCAAGGTTTGCCTGTTGTGAGTATTGTATATGTAACTGTAGGGATAAAATTATAACATATCTAATATGCAACATTATTTAATTATTATCATCCTGATCATGCTGATTGGAATAAATAAATAAATAATATTAAGCATGTCCAGTTACTCCAATATCTACATGTACAGGTATGTAAATGTATAAAAGAATCCTGGGTAAACTTATATATATATATAGTTAGAGAGAGAGAGAGAGAGAGAGAGAGAGAGAGAGATGTTGATAAAAGGGTCAATATAATTGAAAATCAGGCATAAGTAATTTTTGGGTTTTTTTAATTCTCAAAAGATTTAATCACATTCTGTTCTATTTTCAGCAGATACTTCAATAATAAAGAATGGATGAAGAAATTCTCACATTATCATGCTGCCTAATAGTACATGTAAGTTCAAAGGCAGAAGAAAATTTATAAATAGAAGAGAATTTATAAATACAGTTATTTGTCTGTTTCGGCAAACAATTTAATGAACTGAAAATTATGCTGATACATAATCAGCACATTATGTAAACTGTAAATGATTGCATTACATATTTTTCCTGATTTGCATGTAGTGCATGCATTGATATTTGTCAGTAATTTTCATTCAGTTTTCTTTCCACATTATTGCAAATGCTTGTATTTTATTTGGATTAATTAAATGTAGAGGATTGTATTAACTTATTTATCATATTTGTAGTTCAGCTGAAACAAAACAATTATCTGACGAAAGCTTCAACCACGAGAATCTAGGAAAGGATGTCAAGTCCAACGAGAAGGTATGTTGATTACTGGTGATGCGATATGTTATTGGTGTATATAGAGTGCAGCAATGAAATAGAGAGAAGAATAGTGATCCGCAGACAAAAAATTAAATCTTATTTCTATTCAAGAATAGGCAGGTTATTATTAGTCACTCTGTCAGAGATAGTTAAGAGCAGAGTTAGATTTGTTCAGATCATAAAGCTATAGAGTAGGGTGGGTCCACAGTGAGGATGGGGGTCAAAGTTTTTTTTCTGGAATATTTGAGGCTGAAGCCTTTTATCATGAAATCTATTCAAGATTATCATGCGGGGCCACGATATCGGTACATCATGTTTTTTGAATGAATACATCCTAGTACAGAATCCCAGAGTCAAGGGTAATGGATGTGCCATAATTAGAAACAGAATGCATATCTTGGAAAGTCCTATGTAAATATTGGAAAATCATTTTGTTAATTTCATGGCTTTTTAGTTAAGTAGAGATTAAAATAATATAAGTTTTCATAATTTAAACTCCTAATTTATGAAGACTTTAATTGACATCTATGTAAGGTCAAGAAAGCTACAATTTTCAGAAAGAATACAATATTTTGGGGTTATAGAAAAGGGGCATAACTCTCATCATGATAGTAATGATGGATTTCAGATAAAATTAATGGAAAATTGTGTACTGTTGGGAAACAAGTGAATACAGTGCAGTCTAATTAAGTACAGTTAAACAACAAAACAAAAACAAACAAATCAAAAAAACTTTGACTACCTAGGTTATGTTGACGTTCATGACAGTATTACAAATTGGATGAATGCATGATTTGCAAACACTTGAAATTGCATATATGTATGATTTACTTTTGTTAATTTAATTTGCTCATTTTGCACATATCTCTTTCTCATGCAGACTATTAATGAACAATGATAGATTGAATTAGCAACTGTAAATGGCATACATGTATATGAATTTTATATACTCTGTATGGAGTTTAACTTTCGTATATATTTTTGACAGTTGACACTGAGTGATATTTTGAACACATTGAGATATCAAAGTCATTTTAAAGTCCCTTGAATGACATTTTTATATATATATATTACCCCGAATCTCTTGGACACCTCAGTTTTTTTTCAGCAGTCCCATGAGCATTTCAAGATAACAAGTGTGACTTTATTTTATTGATTCAATTAATTATTTAAGAATTATAAAAATATCAATCATATACTTTTATGTTAATGCATTAACATTTTATATTTTTCAGGCCATATAACAAATGGTTGCTGAATTCATGAAGACTAGCTGGGATGATACAGTACTTTTCTACTCATATGAACCGTATCTAAACATCATTTGAGGATCCCTTTCTCAAAAAAAAAAAAGAATTTGCATATTCAAAGACTCTATAGTTCATGTTTATTTGTACGTTGTTTAACATTCTTCTTGAGAAACTTTCACTCATATGGGAATGCCAACATTTGTCGGTGGAGAGCTGCAAATTTTGTCCTTTACTTGGCACACATAGCTAATTGAACAATGAGGGATCTTTTTGGTACTAGCACCTACTGCAACACAGCACCTCTGTATATACAGTCTTAGCTATGTCTGACTGTGGGATTTTGAACCAGCAATTTATGGATCAACTCCTTACTCATTACTCTCGAGCAGATGCTCTTGCCACTGTGCCAAGCAGGTGACTTCATAGGTTATAAAATGATAAGATAAGATTTATAACTTAAAACTGATGTTTTTAATTCAAGCACAGTAGGCCTATAGAAAATGTTTGCAAAAAAGGGAGGTAATAGCTACATGTAGCTCTCACTGGTATTGCATGCTTAAACTATATGAAATACATATTGTAATTTCACATGTATTTTAAACCAGATCAGTAAAGAAAGAAACACTTGATTATTTTTACTATGAATTTTATTATAAGGTTGATTACCTTTAAAAAATGGAACTTTTTTAAAAAAAATTTTGATTAGGAAAAAAAAATATTTAGAATGTACATGTGCACTTAATTTTGTTCATTAAAAATAGTCAAAATATGGAGATCTTGTGTAGGGTATCTAAATATTGATTTTATAAATTTTTACTTCATTTATAAACAGCATAATTTTTATTATAACATATGCCTGTAATAAACAACTTATTTGTTGTTGAAGATTCCATTGTCTGTCTGAAGTGCTTAGTAAATTTCTTGTAAATAAAAACATGATTGTATGCTGTTTGTTTACTTTGTCTATTTTTCAATATGAGTCATGATATATAAATGGTGTGCATATCAGTTTAAAATCTTTTTGTTGAATTCAGTTAACAGGCTCAACTAGGATATACGGATAAGTAGTCCCGATGAAAATATTTTCATGCGCCAAATTTGTATAAATGCACCTTGCTTTATAATCGGATTCATGCGCCAAATTCGAAAAAATGCGCGTTGTTGGATAATGAAAAGGAAATTACAAGATGTTTTCCAGCATAAGACGGGCTGACAGGTCGACAAATTGACAGGTAGACAGGTCGACGGGTCGACTGGTTGACAGATCGACGGGTTGACAAGTCGACAGGTAGACAGGTCGACTGGTTGACAGGTCGACGGGTTGACTGATCGACGGGTAGACAGGTCGACTGGTTGACATGTCGACGGGTAGACAGGTCGACGGGTAGACAGGTCGACTGGTTGACAGGTAGACAGGTCGATTGGTAGACAGGTCGACTGGTTGACAGGTTGACCGGTAGACAGGTCGACGGGTTGACACGTCGGCGGGTTGACAGGTCGAGAGGTTGACAAGTCGACGGGTAGACGGGTCGGCAGGCCGACTGGTTGACCCCTAGGTTGGATAGAGGAACAGCCCTAGTCTATCATGTCCGATAACTAACCCTAATCTCTCAGGTGGGTTTTTGAACTAAACCTCATCTGTCAGGCGGGTTCTGGAACTAACCCTAATCTCTCAGGTGGATTCGAGAACTAACCCTAATCTCTCAGGTGGATTCGAGAACTAACCTTAATCTCTCAAGTGGGTTTGAAACTAACCCTAATCTCTCAGAGGGTCCATGTACTAAATCTTATCTCTTAGCCGGGTTTGAATACTAACCCTTATCTCTCAAGTGGATTTGAAAACTAACCCTTATATCTCAGATGGGTTTGAAAATTAATAAGAGGTGTCAACTGTCGACCTGTCGACCTTTGTGATGACATTGTAGGTTAACTAATAAGAGGTGTCAACTGTCGACCTTTGTAGTGACACTGTTGATTAGTAAGAGGTGTCAACTGTCGACCTTTCGACCCTTTTGATGTCAATGTAGGTTAATCAATAAGAGGTGTCAACTGTCACCCTGTCGACCTTTGTGGTGACACTTTTGATTAGTAAAAGGTGTCAACTGTCGACCTGTCGACCCTTTTGATGTCAATGTAGGTTTAATGTGGAATTGTCAAACATTTTTTGTAAAGGGGACTTTTTATGGACTATTTTTAAAAGGATTTATTTGGAGTAATAAGGCAAAATATTCCCACTATCTATAATAAAAGGAACTATTTCTTATCAAATTTTGAATTTGAAAGATGTAAATCGGTTTCATGGAACTACTTATCCGTATACCCTAGTATTATGAATTATGGATTATGTAGATAGTTACCTTCCAGAAATATTTACATGTACTAGTAGCTGCAGATATGTAGCTTATTTGAAATCAGGTACCTGTATTTATTAAACAGAAATTTAGTGAACACATTCATATACCTATGCAGTATTTCATACTGAAAATACACCGTGTTAATTTTTTACCTATTCAACATAAATATTGACCAGAAGTGATCTCAATGAAATAAAACATATCTCACAATACCCCCCTCCCATTTTATTACAATTCAAATGTATATAAATAAAAGAAACTGACTATACCATTAAAGAAAATATTGAGTTGTCTTTCCTTGTTTAAAGAAAATATCTGATGCAATGAATGCTCCCTTGTGTTCATGACCCTGAATATTAATAAGGTTGGGAGGTGTGTATAAGTCATTTTGTATAAAAAAAAGATACATGTATATACATGTATAATATTATTATACATGAAATCTACATACAAGAACCATTTTAATAGTGAGGTGATTATTACGTCGCAGATTTTTAATCCCAATGTGGGACGTGGAGACCATTCCTTTACATGAGAAATATAAACCGAGTTTCCGTGTGACAGTAGGTGCTGGCATGAAAAAGATTCAACAATACTCAATGGGCTTGGGTGCTGAGTATAGGACAAAATTTGCAGCTTTCCACCGGCAAGTGGGGGGGGGGTCTCCATATCAGTGAAAAATTCTGGAGAGGGAAGTTAAACAACAATCAATAGTAAGGTGAGATGACAGTATAGATGAATCATGGGTAAATGTCTAAAACCTTGAGTAGGGTGAGGGTAAAGCATCACTGGTCATCGACGATCTTTTGTCATTTTTTGATCTGCAATGTCTTATGAGAATTTATTTTGTTGCATCAATTTCATACCTGTATTTGATTTGCATTTTTAAGGAGGCTTATCATTCAAAGTCAGTTTAAATAGCCTTATGTTCAGCTGACTTTAGATCTTCACCAACCTTATCTTTCATCTGTGTTACTGCCTAGTTCTCTTGTACTTCTGCTATAAAATAAGATTTAATGTATACAGTTGTGCAAGATCGATGAATAAATTGAACATACAGAAAAGTTTACCACCATGTCTAAAGTGAGAAATATGATCATGTTTTTGAACTTGAAGTGATTTGAATTTTGTTAAATGTTGAATGCAGCGAGATAGCAAAACATATGAACATCTTATCTTTGGGAAATAGATCTAAATGGCTGCACACATTTAAAGCTCAAAAAGTTGATACAATGAGACCCAACAGGTAAAACTTGATTTTAAAAAAAATTATTTACCCATACAAAAGTGATGTACCCACAAAATGACGTTTGAACCCATCGGACACTGACAAAACTTCTCCTCTTATAATCAGCTGACAATAACATTATCGTCCTTGGATTCAAGAACAATCTGTTATAAAATTAAGGCAAAAGATGATTATGAAACTATTTCAATCGAGTATAAAGTAAAACACTTTATTTTCTCTCAAAATAAACAAGAAACAGTTGACATTCTCTGACTTGTTTACCTGTACTTCGATCGAATTTTCAAGGGGGGACTCTGGCACCCAAGCTTTTTCTGACACGCAATTCATCCATCGTAAGTCGAAGAACCCTTCTGCTTTGTAAAACTACTTAACTTTCCCCCGAAAGCCTTGTGTAAACCAGAAACACGCTTAACCCAATACACAACTCAATGTTTCAGGTACCCGGAAGTGAAAATTATCGTAAAATCTCGCGAATCACGTGACGAGACTTACAGACCTTATTCGACCAAATATTCTCTCAATGTAGGGATTTCGTGGAGATGTTACACAAAAATAACCCCAAAACATAAAACAGCAAACAGGAGGAAAGCGAGACATAATAGAAAGAAATACAAAAGGTCTTGACCGATTGATTTGTCAGCATTGCTCATACACGAAATAAAAAAAGTGTAGAAGGAACACAAATGTTTGTAACTTCTATTTTATTTCGCATTAAGCATGTTAAAGCTGAACACGACTAGTAAATAGGCATTCGCCCTTTTCGATATCAGTTCCTATAATACACCAACACCAAGGTATACACTTCAGAATTGTCACACCTAACTGCTTTCATTTATTGTCAAGGGTATCGGCGGGGAATGGCGACTCGTGTTCGTGCTGGTTATCTTGCATTACCTTTGTTTACATTTTTTTCAGTTACGTGTATCTCTGTTTGTTAGTATACTGCACTGACCTATACAATTATAATTGTAAGCTTCTTTAGTATCTTACTTTACTGCATTAGACGAAGTATTACGTGATTACCGAGTGCTGTATAGCATACGTCCGTCTACACAAGTGTGGACAGATTACACTGAAAAAAGAATGATAAGTCCTGTCCTTTATATAGGGGTCTTCAGGTATGGTGATTCTCCGAACAAAAATGGTGAACACATTCCTTTTACGAATCGTGTTCAGCTTTGAGATTAAACATGAAAACAAACAAGCTGTATTAGGCTGCTCGATATGCCAAATATTATGAATCTTATTGATTAATAAATAATCCATGATATGATCCAAATTTGGTAAGAGAGACAGAAACGGAGAAAAAAAGTTTGAACTTTACGCCAATTTTTTTTCAACACTAATCTTAGAGTACTGAACGTAACAGTCTGTGACGAGATAATTTAGTTTGTGATTGCCGATATGAATTGTCAAACAGTAAGTAAGAGTAACATTAACATGTACTCAGAATAAGTTGTTTTCTATACTATTTGTTATGGATGGCAATTTGTAACCGGTTAACCGAATACTCGGTCGGAACAACCATAGCGATCGGTTAGAAATCTGTAGTCGGTTAGTCGAAAAAAAAATATTTGTTAATTGAAGCTGAACAATTTTCTTAAATTTATTTTAAATAAAAAAAGAAATCTCTGCACAAAGGTTGATAATTAAGACTTTGAAGAATCAATTTTAAAAAGCTGATTTGGAGGTAATTATGGCTCTTCAGATTCGGACCGATTGGTAATTGGTCAGTATATGTTGTGTTAAACATAGTGAAAACACCGTGTCGTAAACCAAGCTTTTCTTAATTTTTTAATGATAATAATTATCATTCTAAGCACCGTTACCGTATGTTTTGTCTTTTTTAGTCATCTATCCAAAACATTATTAAACAAACATTATAATTAGGGTTACCGTTCAGAATGAGTTTGATTATTGTGAAAATGCAAAATGATCTTGTATGACACCTGTATCATAGGAAAAATAGCATTAAAATAAGATTGTAACACATTTTTGTATATTTGCAGAGAGAGATAACAGATGCGGGCTGTAAAGATAAAAGTAATTAAAGATGCTGACCACTAGGAGTTAAAAATTTTACATGGACGGTTCTAAGAAATAATTCATTGGAATCTGGTTGTTTACTTGTTTATCAAAAGATGTATTTGGTTAGGGTAAAGAAGCAACCAATAGTATCGAAGTGACCAGAGATCAGATGTTGGGATAAATTAGCTACACCATCTAATATTTAAAGATTATGCAAAAAATTGGAAATTATTTTAAAAGTGCATTAGAAATGTAAATCAGAAGTCTCTGTCGAGACTGTAGCTCTACTGGTTTGTATTTATAACAAAGGATAAGAAAAGAAGCCATTGCCATCAGACCAAAACTGTAGAAGGAGTAGCATTTTAAAGGAATTTCACAGACATTTCTATTTTTAGTAACAATGGCAACACCGTTCATCGAAATCAAAAACTGATGCACTAAATAATTAGTATGTATCACAGTGTACTCTACTTGTGTGCCAAGTTATATTGAAATCAGACCAAAACTGTAGGAGAAGTAGCGTTTTAAAGGAATTTCACAGAAAATTCTATTTTTAGTAACCATGGCAACACCGTTCATCGAAATAAAAAAAAACGATGCAAAATACCATGTATCTTAGTGTAATCTACTTGTTTGCCAAGTTATACTGAAATCACACCAAAACTGTAGGAGGAGTAGCGTTTTGAAAAACTGTTTACAGACGGACGGACAGCTAGACAGACGGACGGACGACGGACACTTCACTATCGAATAATCTCTTCTGATCTCTGACCAGTAGATATAAAAAAATGTCTTCGTTTTCATTTATCTCAGTAAACAGCCTCAAAACTCTGTTCGCCTAGTGGAAAGTCGAACTCAACCACGAAACGGTATGTGCTAATTTCGGGCAATGAGCAAAATTTAAAACAAGAGGCCCATGGGCCACATCGCTCACCTGAGTAGCTTTGACCATGCTGTTCTTTACAAAATTTTCCCCTTGTAATAAAATACATATTGACCCACCCTACCACATGAATCATAATTTGGACAATTTTAAATCTACACTACACAAGGATGCCTCCACATAAGTTTCAACTTTTCTGGCCCAGTAGTTCCCGAGAAGATTTTTAAGGTATTTTCCTATATATTTCAATACATCATTCATTTACCCACCCATAATAAGAAAAGCGAGAAGAAAACCACACATGTGTTTTTGTTCAGTCTCCTTCTAAATTAACAGCAATCTAAGGAATGTTAATTAGTTTCATGTATATTTCCTATAACGATTTGTACATGTACAAATTTATATTAAAACTACCGGCTTTTTGTCCTCTAGAAAGCATAACACGTACAAAATGATACTGGTCACACTATTAACGTTAATGAATTCTGCACACATTATAGAGTTACTCTTCCTTGTAAGTTGACGGCTCATATCGGCCATCGTATTAGGTCCATTTGAAAAATGACTTAACTAAATTTGAATTGTTTAAAGGGCATGTACTTTAAACTAGGAAATATGCAAGAAAAAAGAACACTCTCGTGTTACACAGTTTTTTAAAATTAAAAACAAGCAAATCTGATTTCATAAGCAAACTCTGAAATGAATCATCAAAGAAATATATCACAAAATTGAAATTTTAAGCATATTAAGTTAGATTTTAATACCTGTCATGTCTTTCATTTCTTTCATCGCCTGTGACATTTCTAAAATTAAAAGAAACACATACAAATCCAAGATAACAATTTTAATGCCCTTGTTGAAAATCTATAAATTTAGGCTAAACATGACATCTTGGAGGATACCTAAAACATATGGAGATAACGAACAGTATTCAAGATTAAAAGTCCGTAAAACAGTATTAAATAGGAGCAAAGCAAACATGGACCTACAAAATATAAGAGTTGGGATCAGGTTCCATGGAAAAATGAGCATCCCCTGCCTACGGTCACACCTGTCCTGTGCTCCTTGTTATAATCGAGAAACAACGGAAGAAATAACATGTATAAACATTTTGAAATAACAAAACTAAACACAATATACTTATCTGGTAGGTATTTTTTCATAGCAGAAGCATTGTGTAATTGATGAGTCTAAATTATATTGTTCTTAATTTACCCTATATACCCTATATTTTTTTTTTTCAAATTATCTCCCCGATATCTTAAAAAAATTGAAATGAAACCTTGAGATAACAAATAAACAATATGAAAACTCAAAAAAACCTTTACATAACACAATAGGGCCACAGAAAAAGGAAATAACGAAACTTTAGATGCTAATGAACTCTTTGAGTATCAAACAAACAATAAATGGGTCAGTCATTCTTGTTTCCTCCTCCTTTGAAACAACACCAGACATATGTTTTTAGCAAGATATCACATACATGTATATAATAATGATAAAATGTTCAATACCTGCCATTTCTTTCGAAAACTCTTCGAAAGCCTTTTCTTGTTTCTTCGACAGATCTACAATGTGAATAGAAATACTTAAGTAGACAAATCTTCAAAAAGGTCATAAGAATCATCGGAAAGTTGTTTTATCAAAAGTAGACGCTGTTTCCTTTAAAGCCTGTTCTTCACACTCTTAAATATGAAAAAAAAAATCGAAATTGTTTAGATATGCTTACTCACAATTCACAGTGATATTCATGTTTTGAAACCATATTGAATGAAATCGTACATATTGTAGTTTTCTGCATAACATTTGACATAAATTTTTATACATTTAGGGAATAACTTCAAAAGATGCCAATTACTCTAATTTCAGAGCTTGTTCTTGGAATAATATACATGTACATGTAGTATTGAAAAGAAGTTTTTGGGAAATTATCTAAGCTTATCTCCAGTCAGAGCTTAAAGAAAGCTGGAGTTGAACGATGAAAATAATTATAAATTTCATCTTAACTGCTATAAAACTAAGGTATATATGTATGTTCACCATATGTTTGTTTTAGCATCCTTCTCGTTTTTCCACGGTCGTGACATGTGATATCCAAGTATATCTTAAATACATTTTACAAATAAGCTTTAACCAGGAACAAAGTTTAATTGTAAATAAACTTGAAACTAATTATTTTTGGACAACAGACAAACAAAATTCATATTACATCAACCTTTACCTAGTAAATATTTAGTATTTTTCATGAGATTTATTACTTTTTTAATCGATATCAACGGGAAAAAAATCAAACTTGGTACCTTCCATTATCATATTTTGCTTGTCAATGACAGCTAAATGGTATTCTTCTTGTTCTGGATCCATATTCTCGGATTTAAGTATTTTGGCGGCTGAGGAGTATTTCGTGCCACTTTCAGGGATTGCTTTTTCAAGTTCAGCTATTATGACTGATGCGTCCTGCCAGAGATTACTAAAATCTTGATCAGAGAGCGACACACTAGCAGAATGACCACAATAAGTGTTCCTTATCTCTCTTATCCGATCTATATTGGCAGAAATGGATCGATCGGCTGGATCTGGTGGTTTTCCCCATCCTTTGCTGTGTGAATTTATTCCTGAAATATTTCTCAATAGGGTGTACAATAAGGACAGATCAAAGTCTTCATAAGTTTTTTGAAATTGACCTTTGTGGGGGTAGAGAAGTTCCCTTTGAGCTCTATTGAGAATCGGACTGAGGTTACTTTTCTCTCTTTGGAGGACTCCAGGGAACGCCATTTCTGTGACATGATTCCTTAAAATGTCCCTGAACAGATCTGAACAAGGATCCCCTATTAAACGAGACACGCGAGCAGCGTGCGTCTTCTCCTTTGTAGAGCCGTATTTTGGATTCTGCATTTTTAGGCTGAAAATAAAGATCCATGATTTTATAAATTACTAGCTGCAATAATGTAGCCCTCTCCCCCTTTTTTGGGAGAGGCGCTACAACTCCTTAGGATCTCCGTAATGGTGCAGCTGCGGAAGCGATTCACTCCCGCACGGATTTCGGCTCAAATTGTCAGTAAATGGCTATTTTATTAACATTTCTTACCTTGACTACAAAAATGTAGTTATCCAAGACATAAATCAGTCCAGAAATATACAGAACAATCCATATATCAGTTATTTTTCGTTTTTGTAAACATCACAGCTTAAATTTATCGGCCATGTTTGCTGACCTTGACAGATTGTATTTTGGGACAGCCAATGAGATTAAAGATCTATAGGGAGCGGATTTCTTTGGAATTATCTTATTTTAAGCCTAAATAAAGCTGTTTGCGATAAAATAACACATGGTATGATTTTATTTATCGATGTTTAGTGATACTATTCATCACATTTTTTTTATAAACACCGACATTTACTTTAATTAGTTATTCTAAATTTCGAGCGCAAGTCTCATTACGTCACGCGTGAACTGTCATGGCATGCTGAGTAGATCACCTGGTAAACACGCATATTTATTTCAACTGGTTTTCGCGTTTAACGGGCTATGTTGTCGACAGTGAATAAAAAATCTCGTCTTATTAGAAGTATTAAGTTGAATGTAAAAACTACTTTTCCTGACTGCAGTCGCCTGTATTTAAAAAATATTTTGCACCATTACAGAGATGCTGTGGAATTGTAGCCCTCTCCAGAAAACATCAGATAAAAAAAAATCGGAGAGGGCTACATTATTGCAGCTAATAAAATACCTTTTCAGCTTAATAGATGAGATTTTACACAAGCTTGCTAACCTTGCGTCCTTAGGCAAATCAATGTATTGCTAGGTTTCCCATTAATACCAATGCCGTGAATTGGGACGAGAATTCTCAAAAGAGTGTAAAAGTAAGGTGAAATCTCTAATAAAACAATATGTTTTCTCGAATTTTCAATCTGTTATAACGAATTACTTATTCGTTCTCTTAGATTATCAATTTGTTAATTCCGTTGAATTAGACAAGCCGTTCTCTCGAATTGTAATTTATTCTCTCTATTTAAGCTATTCATAATGCATGCGATTTTCGGGTTAAGTCACGAATTACTTTAAGTCCGGACTAAGCTTACGCCTGGTCGTAGGCCTTTTTGAGAAACGAGCCCCTGACATTTTATTTCAACGACCTGCTTATCAATACTTGCCTCGTCTTAGAAAAATATTTATACGTAAAACCTGCTTTTGACAATCAACTCAAATTGGCGATATACAACCAATTTGCAGGTTATTTCAAGTTATTTAAGTAATCACTGTCTAGTCTAGACTATGCCAATTTATATCAACGATAATGGGAAACAAGTGATAATTTGCATAACGGGCGAAGACTGTTATGCTAAAATCATCCCATGTTTTCAACTATCGTTGATGTCCCTGGCATAGTTTACTAGCTACACAGTAATTCCTTATATTTTCATTTTAACTTGAATAAACGATCTTAAAATTAATCAAAATACCGTCTTATTTAGTAGATCTGAAATTCACGAGGCATTCCAAGTTATTTTTTTTTTGCCCCGCTCCATGACCCCAGATTTTACTATAATAATAGTCCCATAAAATCACAATACATATTAAATGATTCTTTACTTAATGTAGTTAAATATCAACATTTATGAAATAAATAACGAAAGGATTTTGAATTAACATTCAAAAATGATCAGAGCAATCTTGTTAAATTTAATTATATATGTGACCTAGATTTAGTTTGTCGGAAACACGTGTATAGGCTTTAGGTGTCACAACAGTATTAATTTCTGCTATATATTCTTACCAAAAATGCGCAAGTTTGAGTAGATGTGTTACATTAAAGTTTTAGAATTCAGAGAATTTAAAACTAACTATAGTTAGTTTTAAATTCTCTGAATTCTAAAACTTTAATGTAACAGGTTATATTATATGAATTTTAATTCATAACGATTTGACATTTTTTTAATTTGTTTTAATTTTTATGAAAATAATTCCTTTTTCTTAATTTCAAATTCACTAAATTTTTTTTAGTTTTCTTCAAAACATTTTAAATTTTGTTTCTTTTTCACATAAAAATATAGTCTTTCGGATATCAGTAAATGTGGAATTTGAGCAATCTGTCACCTTTCGGAAGTCAATTTACTCATGACAGATTGTGAATCAATTATTTTATCTACTAAATAAACTGCTAAATTCTTTTTTATTTCGGCCTTTTTGTACGTAAATTATTTGCGAGTTTGGCTTGACACTTAGCTATGGCATAGGTATTAAATTATTTGTACGATTTAGATTCTTGTTTATTTTGTTTCGGCTTCACGCAATCTTCCTATTGTTAAAAACTCAGAACGGAAATTTACTAATTGATTTCATCACCTTTCGGCTCTTTGATAATGTAAGTAATCAGTGTCAAGCCTATCAAAGGAAATTGCCGACTTACCTGTAATAATTTTTGTAACAAGCATCCTGATTGGTCAAGAGTTCAATTCCGAAGTAGAGTCCGGATAGATTGTGAATTTAGCAAATTCACTTTCTATCTTGTGACTCTACAATAAACATCATTCAACTTTAATCGGAATTGTTTCTCTTTGCCAATTTAGGTAAGCTTGTGTTTTTAATTTTTATTCAAATGTTAAGTTAAAGTTTAATTTTGATTTTCAATATAATTATTTTAAGTAATTAATGTTTTATGATTTTTCTCTAAATATTTTTGATGTGGAATTAGGATAAACTACTTAGTTCATTTGATTTTTTACTGAACTTTGAAATATCTGATATACTTACATATAATCAAACACAATAAATTGTTTCTTTCATTTCAATGTTAGATAATGTTTGAAATTATATAATAACATTAATAGCAATAATTTCCTTGTTGAATTATTTACAAAATAGAGTTTTTTGGAATTTTACTATCTTGTGTAAATTTTTGGCAATTTAATTTTACTGCTCATGAGTTATTTTCCCTGTTCGGAACTCTCTAGTCAGAGAAGGTATTTAAATTTTCCCGAACTTTTGTAAACAATGTCTATGGAGTTTAACGTTTGTAAGTTTTCTGATTTTATTGTCAACTTTTGATATTTAACTTTTGTAACTGTAAGAACTAAGTTAAGCGCTACGCATGAATGATTTCACGTAAACGATCGATCTTTAGTTTCTGTTTTGTAGTCAAACTTTGTAATAGCGGTTTTCGCTACAGGTCGTTTCAAAAGTTATTTAACTATTTCACATTGTTAATTTCGATAATTACATATATTTGTTTATTATGATTTTTTGTTTAACAACTTTTATAAAATACACTTTCTATCTTGTGACTCTACAATAAACATCATTCAACTTTAATCGGAATTGTTTCTCTTTACCAATTTTTAGCATTACAGTAGAAAAAGCGAGTAGCTATCCTACCAAGCTAATTTCCCCAAACTTCACAGACGAAAAGTCCATTGTGAAAGATGTAACTAATTCAAAACAAACTTCTGAGAAGTTTCCTGTTCAGATCTTGTAAAACCATTCTTTATAAAGATTTTAGTACCAAAAAATACATAGCCGTCCAGCAAGGCACGCAAGTTTGTTTCGGTCGAAGTCGAGCAGGTGCTTGAAAATCTAGTCCAGGGCCTAATCACTCCCCACTCTTGACAGTATATAGAAAAATCAACACGCCCTAAATTTTAATAAATCTGGTCAATACAGGAAGTTTACATGTTGTTTTTCATCTCATAAAGAAATTCATCTCCAGTCTCGTATCAAAATGCCCGAATCGGAAGGGAAGATTCCGGGATTATTTTGCGTCAGCCATGATTTACAGCCACAGTGTTATACTGTTATGACACCTGCACGCCACTTCTCCGCCGCCATATCGAATGCAATGTTGAAGATGATGAAATGGAAGTTGGTCAGGAAACAGATTTGTGTGGATGTTAAAATAACAGAGGTCGTTGAGTTGCTTACTAAGCGGATGGTAATGACTAAGGGACGATGTCTCTTCCAGATGATGGAATGTATGTGGCTGTGCCGATTAATCGACGTGATTCAGTAGGGATGTTTATATATATATATAGTTGTCGGCCTCGCGAGTCCTTGATAACAGTTGACAACGTTGCGCTAGCGACTTGCTTTTGATCCGAAGATAATTCATTGATCAATTTGTTTGTAAAAAGATATATTTTACGGGATGCTTTTGTCCGTCTACTACCGATTCTGGTTCAACCGTGAGCTTTCCTCTTATTGTTGAACCCAGATTCTTTAAAACCTCAAAGTCACCAACACGAGTTACAATTTTGTACTTTTATATAGAATCAACAAGGAATATACTTTTACATGAGCTTGGGAACTATCAGCACCGATGGTCTGATTCCAACTGATTATAATTTTTCACAACCAAAACATACATGCTGAACAGAGACAGAGTAAAATAAAGGGATTAACAAAACTATACAGAAATCAAGTAACAAACAATTATTGAGCGAATGGTGACAATTTAGGAGCATGTATATAATAGAATTAAAGATGAAAGATTAAGTGTCAATAAATATAAATAGAAGTCAATTAAGGGATTAACTGTCCATCTCTGACTATGCCTCGGGCGGGATTAAGGTTTAGTGGAATTTATATAAAATTTATCACATTTGCCAAAATATAAGAAAAGTTTTGACAACAATATACATAAAGTCCGAAAAGTTAATTTACAAAGTATTTTATAATAAGTCCGAAAATGTATTATTTTACACCGTTACATATATCATATCTAATTACTTAATACACAATTAAACAACAACTATTTTTTTTCAGTTTATTTATACGTCACTCATATACATGAAGGTTGACGTTTGGTCTTTCAATAGTATTTCAATAGAGACCACTGGTATAACCACGAAATACAAGATAGGTTTTTGTTGTGTTTTTCATAGAGAAAACAATTGGAAATGGAAATATAAAAG